TAGAAATTTCTCCAGTTAATTACTTACAATAAGGCAATTGTTTTTTGTATAACAAGTTTTCTGAAATAGCATGTTTAAATATGCAAATTAGTCATTATCTCATTAAATATGCACATATTTTAACACATTTCAGGAACTGAAATCTGAACTTTGGATAAAGCCAGGTTCAAAATTCTTGTTTCATTTTGTAGTCATATTAGCATCTAAGGCTTTTACAGAAGGGATATTGGATATCTCTTTTTATCATTCCATAAATCAGAAAATACTGTCAACAGCCCTAAAATATCCATTTTCGCCTTTTTTTTTTTTTTTTTAGGTATAAAATGTTATATAATTCAGGCTATGAAAAATATATGAACAAACCCTTCTGTAAAAGCCTTCATAATATTGATAGGAATATAACTGGAAGGTTGGTGTCTCTACGTGCAACTGAAGTGGAAATTTCGAACTCAGAGTAGGAGAAAAAACTCATTTTGAGAAAAGGACCTTTAAAGATTGCAGTGAGGAGCTAGCTAAACCCTCTGTTCTTTGGATGACAGCTTGCGCATCGACGCACTCCGTGAAGGTATTTCATGTTCGGGGTCATTTGTGTTTTGTATAACCTTGCTTCGTGCAAGTGACAATTGTTGTCGTCTTCTCTGTAAATGTTTTTTTCGCCGTTCTTTTGCCATTTTGAGATTTAAATTTCTAGAGGAAAGCTAACCAGGAAGTGTTTTAGCACACCACGTGATGCATCTGAACGAATCACGTTGTCAGAAATTGACACCAGCCGATGAGATTTCGTTTCTTGGTTTAAGACCCCTTTGTGCTTTCACGATTGGTTGCTGATACAAAGGAAATGACCATATTTGGATCCGATGAGATTGTGCAGGAGAGACGGAGCTTTCCAGCGATATCTCTGATGACATGGTGCAAACAACGGTCGCGGTACTCTATGTTACGTTAGAATGCTAACTTTTGGTGAATTTAGGAGAAATCTACAGACGCAAATAGACAAACTATAGTAAAATAAACACTTAAATGTGTATTTTGTACGTTTTCCTTCCAAAAGCCTGAAAGAAAACATGTTATGGAATCAAAATAGCACAAAATCTCAAAATTGACCAGTGAATGAAAAACGATGTTTTTGCCTGCCGTGTCTCGCCTTAGGGCAGAAACTAACTGGTGTACATTTTTGTTGACATCCGCAGGTCACGGTGTCCAACCGCCTGGTGTCTTCCCCATGCTGCATCGTCACAAGCACCTACGGCTGGACAGCTAACATGGAGAGGATCATGAAGGCCCAGGCTCTCAGGGACAACTCTACCATGGGCTACATGGCTGCTAAAAAACACCTAGAGATCAACCCTGACCACCCCATCGTGGAAACCTTGAGGCAGAAGGCAGAGGTTGATAAGAATGACAAGTCTGTGAAGGATCTGGTCATCCTGCTCTTTGAAACTGCACTGCTCTCTTCTGGATTCACCTTGGAGGATCCCCAGACCCACTCCAATCGCATCTACAGAATGATCAAGCTCGGTCTCGGTGAGTATCTGTGTTTACGGACATTATATAAACAACTACCTGGCTTCTTTGACTAATCATGTTTTTCTTTTTCTTGTTTTAGGTATTGATGAAGATGATATGACACCAGATGAAGTCACCTCTGCGCTCACTGAGGACATGCCCCGTCTTGAAGGGGACGATGATGACACATCCAGGATGGAGGAGGTGGACTAGGCCTGTTTCTGTGGCCTCTTGGCTCTCAGAAGTAGTGTTATGTAACATGTAAAGTTTAATGTTGTAAATGAGCCTCTCCCCTCAACACCTTTTTCACACAGTTCTCCCCTTGATATGACCAGATTCAGATCCATTCCTCATAGGACTTTATATTTAAGTTGTCACGTTTAGTAACTTGAGTTTTCAATGCATTTTCTTTTTTATTTATTGACATTCCAATTTACTTTTTGTGTTCTTACTTTGATTGTAAATATACCAAAAATGTTAGTTATTTCAAAGGGGTTGGACTCATAAATAAAGGTTCGATATCTTGACTACCATGTTTTGTCATCCTTACTGACCCTCTGCAAAGTTTATAACACGGGGGCAATTCTAAAGACAATAATTCACAAATATACAGCTAATGACAGGACATTTAGTTAAATCCCATTTAAATGAAATTAGCGTTGTGTATATGATTCACAACACATAGACTAGCAATAGTTACATGCAACCTTTCAGTGTAAGATTTGTGAAATGTATCGTGCCAACAATATTAACTGAATCCTCCTAGAAATGCAATCTTTAGAAGACAGTCACTTAGGCTGTCATAGCAGGAAAAAGCACAGGTGTTCCTAATTACCTTAATGAGGGCTCTGCTCTAGTCACCTGTCTCTTAATTAATGTCACTATTTATAACTGTGGTTTTCTCTATTTAAAGGTCCCATGTCATGCTTTTCCGGTTACTACCCGTCCCCTTGTGTGTTATGAAGGTTTTTCTGCATGTAAACGGTCTGCAAAGTCACAAACCCTCAAAGTACACCCTGTAGGGAGTAAAACTCTAACACAGAAAATACCTGTCTATGCTGCCCCAGAACGCCTCGTTGGAGATTTCTCTTTTTCCATTGTTTACTTCCTGGGTACAGTGACGTTCCCGTACCCAAATGGACCCATTGGTCCAAATAGACCAATCCCTGGAGCCGTTAAGTTAAGTCCAATCCACGGACTTCCTCACACACATACAAGGGTGTTTCTCAATCTTGAGTAAAGCTGCTCCAGAGCCACTATTTCAAGCATACTACGTCATCGAGTGCCGCCGAAGTACTGTTCCAATTTCCGGCATACTTGGAATCCTACCGAGCCCGGCGTACTCCGTAGCGGGAAATTTCGAGGCTGCACATGTGTAGACTCCGCGGTCTTAAAATCCCCACAATGCTTTGCGCACGGACCAATTTCCCCAAATCTGTGGCGGAAAATGTAAGGTGGGGCCTCTCATATGACGCACACCTGCACGCTTGCTAGCCTGTTCCACTCTTCGTTTACCGAATGCCAGGAAGTATTCTTGCCTCGCTTCTGAAGCAAGTGACTCGGAAGACATGTGCTACCAAGCAAGCGTACTCGACATTGAGAAACACCCTCAATCTTTTCACAGCTGCAGCTCCGCCGATTTCTCTTCCCTGAGACGGCGGAACGCGGCGAGGCTGTTTCTCAATGTCGAGGAAGGCTGCTCCAGAGCCACTATTTCAAGCATACTACGTCATCGAGTGCCGCCGAAGGACTGTTCCAATGTCCAGCATACTTGGAATTCTACCAAGGCCAGCGTACTTCGTAGCGGGAAATTTCGAGGCTGCATACCAAGCAAGCATCCTCGACATTGAGAAACACCCTGTGAGCCGGTGTGTGAGCACACACACAAACTCCCAGCCAGGCTGCGGGTCTGTGTGTGTGTGTTCGGGCTGGGTTTCGCTGTGTCTCGCTGTCTCACAGACGGCCACTGGGCTCACAGGGAGGGGGGGGCGGGAGCTCCAACAGAGCCGTTTGACAGAGAGTGAATACACATACTATACAGAGATGCTGCATGAGAAACCAATGTCATTTTGGAAAATTGCACAATATAAATCTATTTTAGTAGACCTCAACAATGGAATTATGATCAGTAGAAATGGCCATGACATGGGACCTTTAACATTACAATGTCCTAAGGACTAAAAGAAGAAGATGGGAGGGGGAAATACACATGCGTTTTCATACAGGTAATACAGTACACAGTACACACTTTTTACAACATGCATGCACTGCACATACACATACAAATACACAGTTATATGCACACGCAGTTGAGAGGTCAGAGCGGAGGTAGCCGGTGCCAGTGAGCAGTTGGGGGTTAGGTGCCTTGCTCAAGGGCACTTCGGCAGTGGCCCAGGAGGTGAACTGGCTCCTCTCCAGTACCAGTCCACACTCCGTATTTCTTGGTCCGATTGGGACGTGAACCGGCGAGCCTTCGGTCCAAAGTCCAATCCCCTAAAGTCTGAACCACTGCCGCCTACAGAAAAGGAGGCATATATAAAACGATGAATTCATAAACAGTTATTGGAGTTTGGGGGATAACATGAATGTATTCATAATATTTAGTTGTAAAAATAGCCAAAGTAAGACCGTCAAATGCCAGTAGATGGCGGTAATAAAACACTAAAGGGATCCAGCTGCTGCATACATAGAAGACTCAGTGGCTCTACCAAGCTCTTCAAATATTCTAGAACATAGAAATGAGATACAACAGTCAAAGAGTCGATTATTTTAAACATGCTTTACTTTAACGTGAGATATATTTGGAAAAGAACACACAAAAGGAGTGCAATAATTTAATATAAGATTATTGCACTCCTTTCGTGTGTTCTTTTCCAAATATATCTCACGTTAAAGAAGCTATCGTCTATAAAGGTATGTTACCTTGCACTTGAATGAAATTCTGTGATGAAATGTTTTTAATCAGTATTTTTTTGGTCTATAGATATGCATTGTCTAACTTATTTTGTGCAGTCTATCAGTTGAATATATTCTGTCTGGTATAAAAATAAACACTCAAATAACTAGCATATAATAACATAAGCTAAGAAGCATGGTGTCCATATAGATATAGTCCATCTTTGCTGAACAATTAAAGCAATTATTATGCAAAATAGCCTTCTAGCTTGTGTAGATGGTTCAGAGCAAGTGAGCGAACAAATCATAAATGCAAACTATGGGATAAGATCTGAAAGTGACAGAGGAAATGGGAGCAGTCAAGCAAGTTGTATGGCAGCCATGGATGCATTAAAAGGAACATGTCCTAGACCTAGACCTACGGTCCGTTACATGAACATGATGTATCCTGCTGTCTCACTTGTATCCATACTGTCACCGACCACCCGACAGGGAGCTCCCGGCCGCTGCTCTGACGTTGGTGTCAGCTGACAGACAGCAGCCAATCACAGCTTGAGGACGGGCTGAACCGCCTTCAGTGAGGTACCCTGAGAGTTGTCAAGGTTTGGGTTGTGGAGTGGAGTAACGTTTTCCGAGAGGGGAGCAAGGGCGGCTACGGTTGTACAATGCCGAATAAAACGAAAAAAGACAAGGTGAGTTTCAGAATTGATAAGAGGTTATGACGTTTGGAGAAAAAGTTTGCATGAGATGTATTTAAGTGTATTTATTCAAAACTGGCGTTATAACAAGACATTTAATACAGCTTTCAGCGCAGGGTCCCATCATATACGTTAGCAAACCTGCAATGATCTGCAGCTAGCCGCTATTCTGCCTACATGTTAGCACTTGTCCTGCCTTATTTAAATTAAGCACCGTTTTCCCAAAGTGATGTTGCATACTTTGAAAATATTTGTGTATGACAACGTGTGTGTGTTAAGTTGTATTAAGTAAGCGTTGTATATTTTGTTTAAAGCTTGAAGCCGGGGTCGTGTAAATGCTATTGAGTAACATTAGCTGGCTAGCAGCAGACTTGCCAGTGTATTCAAACAGGAGTGTGAGACTGGGTGGGCAGGCATGCTATTTTTAGCTAACATTTTCTTTGATAGACTGCTTAATAATGTTGGCTCCTTAGTTATTTGTTAACGTTAAGTTGACCTAGGAACTTCAACTTTCTCTTTCAGGAGTCCCTTAAGTCTGGTAAAGTGGGCAAGAGTGGAGGACAAGACAATTCAGAGAACGAGGTAACGTTGGGTTAACCATGTCCACTTTAATACAAATACGTATTGGAAGTTTTTGTGCTAACAAATGATATGCTTCTGATATTACAATGTGAAAATGGAATGTGTTCTGTAAATTGGAGTCCTTTGCAGTGATTCTGTTTAGGGGTCATTGACCAGCCTTGGTTGTACACTTTTTTTAGACTCATGTTGCTGTTTATTGATGATCCAGTGCTTGTAGATGACATCCGTTCATGGCACTTGCCAATAAGTGGAGTTTCTCCATACATGTTAATATGTCCTTAGTATGCTCAATATTAATATACTCACCAAATCCTTTGTAATACTGGTGTCATGTGCAATAACTGATATTTTAATATGCAGTTAAATGTAGAAGTGTGGTTGTGCATGCTTTTTTGTACTGATTCACTAGATCTGCATGATCAAATGACACAGCAAATTACTTTATACTTAGCTAATCAGAATTATAAAGCTATCTATATCACTTAGTAGAGCTCCCAGGATGTGTCATCTAGTTGCATCCTATTGTCGGTATGTGACACTTTCAGCAAAAACATGGGCAATTCAATATAGTTGCAAGGAGATTATAAAACCATTATTATGCTTCTATGTCCATTGGCTAGCTACAAAATAAATAGGTGTTTAATGAGGACACAATAATGGTTTTTGACTGACAATATATTGTTCCAAGTAATGAATGATATTATCATCATCATTTGAATACCATCCATGCAACTGATATCATACTAATGCATACTATTACAATTACGTTGAACTTTTAATAATAATCAGATATTGCAAATGGAATTCGAAGGTTGTACTGTATGTGCTACCTGCTTAGCAAGGCTGTGTCCCAACAGAGTTCATGTTCATATATAGTACGTAGGTCGATAATAGTATTTATCGTTACAGGCCTATGTGTAATCAGGCCACGAGACTAGTTTCTAATCAACACATGTGAACAATTCGACTGGTAATCTTTATTTTTCAATACGGAAAGGACAACACTGTTATTGGTTTCTCAGAAATGAACACAGAAGTGAATACACTTGTATAAAAAGGTTATGCACCATTCTACATAACCTCTCAATATGTATAAAACATTAAAAGAAAGGCTAATAAAGTTGCACTGACATCTGGATGTGGTCACATCTGGACATGCCAAAGCAGTAGCTGTTAAACATTGTGTTGGTCCTGTAATAGCACAGGCAGCTGGTGTGAATCATTTTTCTCACAGTGTTGCACGACATGGTCATGTACTGTATTTGTAACAAAAAGTATGAGCGTATCCACACACAGTGCACAGCATGATTCCAAACAGTATTGTTGTGATTTTTCCAAGTTAAAATGCATCTTTTAACAAAAGAAAATCAACTTCTTCCATGAACTCAGCAATGACCATTTATTGGAACATCACTGAACCATTTTGAAAAGATTTCAACTCTTTTCTTTTCCATTTTGAAGTAAACAAAAACCTTGATGCCCCCTTTTTAAGCCCTGGTTGACAGTGGACATCTGTTTGTGCCGTACTGTCCTCCCCTTTACATCTAATATTCATATTGGACCGTCTGCTGACCACCTGTTTGTATTTTGGGGGCTGCTGTATTACATAATCCAGTCCCTTGTAATGACTAAAATGCTTGAAAAAGTTTTCTGCTCGCTATTTACAAAAACAGACAGAACTGTATCACATTCATGTATTCCCCCCCCCCCAAAAAAAATATTTTTGCCTTGATGTCAATTATCTATGCAAGCAGGATTGCTGTTGTGTGTCAGCAGTCATGCGTACCATGGCTTCAATGTTGCGTCATATTGAAATTGCTGGGCTGCAAGCTGTTATTTCCCACTTAGCTATACAGCTTGCTTGTTGCCCAGCTCTTAGGCTGCTTTCTTGTACTGACTGTGAGTGACTTCAGCTGGGTCTTAACTGAGTTTAATAATTCCCCTGTGACTCGGTCTGACACAGCCCCACAGCTGCATCTGGTGAAGTACACTTTGTGCCGTCAGGTGTGTGTTGATGAATCGATCCCAGCAGGCAGGTGGGACCAGCTGTGAGAAAGTTTCCACTTTCACTTTATTCCACATCAGGATTAAATCACGCCTCACTAAGATTTGTATTTAGTCCTCTCTAGAACACAGCTGGGTAGGTTAATAATTAGTGAATACAAAGTCATGATGGTTCGTCTTTATACTGATATTGATGAGTGCAATATTGAAATCGCAGGAAGCACAATTTATTTTCCACAACTGTGGAGCAGCAGAGATATCCTGACTTGAAAAAGTAGACCCCCAGACTCTAAAAGACATGTTTGTTTGGCACAGATCCTCTTAAAAAATCACACCATAATCACTTCATATATTTTGCAATGACAATAAAAAACTAAGATTTATAAATGATCAATCCCTCCCATATTGTGAATCATATCTTAATTTCAATATCAGTCAAAAATAATCCCAATTAATTCCTTTTTACAAACATTGCATCCCTAATGTATATAGTAGGGACGTAACGATACCAAAAACTCACGGTACGATAATATCGCGATAACAAGTCCACGGTACGGTTACGGTATTTATCGCGATATTGAAAAATAAAGAAAAAATAATTTTAAAATGTATTTATTTTTTACTTGAAAACATGTTCTTCATTAAATAATAAATCTGATTTGTACAGCATTTTAGTAGGATAGTAGTATTTTTTAAAGGGTCAAAAACAAAGTGACAGTAACAGACTGGAACAAGAACAACCAGTTTTTTTTTTACCTACTAGTACTACCAAACAAAGTAGGCATGTTCTTTGTGCCACTGCACCTCACAAAGGACATTTTACGATCCTGTCTGTCAAAATGACGGACAGCGAAAAAGTCTAACGCCACCTCTGTGGGACAGAGAGATAGGCTTTGGCCATGGGTGACAGCAGTGGGTAAAACTGGGCATTGTCTCTCCAGCACTTCAAAAACAATACAGTTTTTGCCAAGAAGGTGAGGCTTATTGACAGGGCGAGATATACATATACGGTACTTGTCAATGTCTCTAGGTGTGTACATGTAGCCCTACATCCTTTTGTGTTATCTGTTGTTTTATGTTCATGTTGTAACCTACTTGCTGCCATGTTGGACAGGTCTCCCTTGAAAACGAGATCGATGATCTCAATGGGACCACCTGGTTAAATAAAGGTTAAATAAATAAAAATGAATTAACCATGTAATATCGCGGTAGATTCTGTCAGTCTCATGACGGCATTGAGACGTTTATTTATCGCGATATTCGGTATATCGTTACATCCCTAGTATATAGTATCTCTACATTGGGTAAAGAGTGATTCATGACCTTAGCTATTGCATATAAATAAATCCTTCATTTAGTGTGGCAGTCACACAGTATTATCTGATTCACAAAGACATATTGCACTCTCTTTCACACACAGTTCACAATATGTGCTAGCGCTATCGCCCTGTCACTAATGTGTTTTTTCTCTCTCTTGTTTCAGCAGAGCTCTAACAGGAAGGCTAGCAATAGTGCTCCTCCCACCACTCAGCTGCTAAAGGGGAAGCAGCCAGGTTCCCAGACACCTGTCAAAAAGGACAAGAGGCAGAGCTCCTCTCGTTTCAGCTTGAGCAACAACAGGGAGCTGCAGAAGCTGCCTGCTTTCAAAGGTATTTAACCTGTATAAACACTAAATCAAGTCCTCTAATCAAATCATGAAGTAACTACCCCGTGTTTTGGGTTCTAGAGTTGTTTGCATTTACACATCAACTGATACAAGCACTCTAAGCAAAGCTGCTGTTTCCACTTTTTGTTTAAGTGTTAACAATTTGCTTTATTTGGGGCAAAAATATGTTGTTTTCAAGCCTCATCTCCAAGAAACCATACAGTACATAGAGCAGAATTCCCCTTGAGGCATGATGGGGGGAAAAACCAACCTGTAATCTTGTCACAGATAAGTGTAAGCCTTACAGACATTCATCCCTACATGCACACACTCATGTTAATTTCTTTCCAAACACCTATTGAACATCCCCTGCTGCATCACCCTCATTGTAATATCCAGCTGAGCATGACATTACGCAACACATGGAAACGAGCAGAGGACGTACATGGAATGGACTTTGCGCTGGATTGGACCCAAGCGTCTATATTTAGTGGTAATCCAGAGATAAAGCTTTAATTCCATGTTCCTTGTGCTTCAGGATGTTGCCAGTGACCAGTAATGTCTGCCAGACATACTACTAACCCCCCACCTCCCCCGCCCCCGCTGGAAGAGAAATTGGCAGGTTTTTGCAGAGTTCTATTGACGTTTTCTTTTATGTCTAAACTCGGAAGCAACATAGCACCAGATGGAAAAGCAAGAAGTGGGCACTGGTGTTTGGCCTCTGGGCATACTATCTATGCATGGATACACACACAACAATATTGTCCGCTGCCTCCTGCCAGTACAGTAATTATATAACCTGGCTGAGTGCTGAAAACATACAGCCAGATTATACAGCTTTAAATGTACTATATGTTATTAAGAACGTGGGCAAAACTGCAACCGGACGTGCTTAAAGGAACTGCTTTGGCAGATGTTGGAAGTGGATATGACGGCAAGAAGTTAGTTAATCAGTGCGATGCAATAAAAGGTTGCTTATCAGTGCAAAAGACAAAGGTGCAATAGTTCTATGTCTGGGAAATATAACTCTAAAGGTGGTGAAATAAACAATGCAAGGCAGTGTGCTCTTATCAGAGAAACTGATATAGTAGCGACTAAACTATCCTCTAATCATTTAACAAATGAATAATTACACAAAGTTCTTAACGTTTGGACATTTGAGATGTTGGCTGGGAGGGTCATACATTTCCTCTCAAAGACAGATTTTGTTTTTATATTTGAATTGTTTAGAGTTAATAAGGCAATGACAAGTCTGCAGGGTTGTTGTTTCCTGAATTTGATTCAATTCAATGTCATGGTTTGATTCTGTCTTGGAAAACTCTGACAAGGCATGGTTGTGTGCCGTCTACTAGTGTTAATATGTGAATTGTACATTATAAGTTGGAAGTCAGAACTTAAAGCCAGGGCTGTTAATGTGTTTTGAATTGTGTTTTTTGTTGTTGATATTCTCCTGACAAAATCAATAAACCAATGCTCTGACCAAAACATTTAATAATTTGGGATTAAACTGTAATTTTGCCAATTCAGAGCAAGGGCTTCTTGCTGCCTTCATTAAAACATAGTCAGAAACACTGGGTTGCTTTCAAGGTTGGATCATTCTTGCTGGCTTCTCCTTATGTTACCTATGCAAGCTTTACGTCAACTCTCTGTTCAAGAGAGAGTAGACGTCCTATAAGGTAAACACATAAGATAACACCTGAGGCCAATCTCTTCTCACAATATTATCCACTAAACTACAGACTGAAATATGACTTTAATTGTTTTCTATCTTGCCTCTGATCTCAGCATAGCCTTCTTGCAGTGAGCACCCCTTGCTACAATACACAATGCAAAGGTAGCACTCCCCTTCAAAATAATTCACAAATATTTCTCTCTTTGGAAGCTAAAGCACTTAGTGAAGTTACTATCTGTGGTTTTAATAGCAGATGTTGTTATTGTGTACCATTTGTTCACCTTTTGTGTGAGATTACAATTACACCCAGTGTGGCAATTCTACCATAAAACACACCTATATCTCGGTTAGCCATTACCCTTGTACTGTGTCAAGAAACCATCAATCATAACTTAATTCCTGATAAAAGCTGCTCTCTTCCCACACCCCAGCTGGAGCTTTGATAACATTCTGCAAAACATTATCCCACAGTGGCCCGGTAGATGTTATCTCTTAGTCCTGTCCAAACAGGCTCCACGCTCGGCCTGTTTTCATTCCGGGCATATTCAACACACGTCTGATAGGCCGTCCTGCAGAGCCACAAGGCCGAGACGAGCCTAAAAGCCCTGACCAGAAGCAGGCCATGACCCCCCTTAACCCCCCTTAACCTATTCGGGTGGCCCACGCATCCACCCCCCCCTCAAATAAGAAAATACATGCAAGTTCATGGCTACTGTAGACAACGTTGTTGTTGCTCTGTGTTGCGTTGTTAATGAGTGAGACACACTGGAGTTGAGGATCTGTGGGATTTATTCTCCCAAAAATATAATTTACAATTTAGGCATTTAGCAGATGCCTTATTCCAAAGCAATTTACAATGACCAATTACAGGAACATTCTCCCTGGAGTAACTAAGGGCTAAGTGCCTTACTCAAGGGCACACCAGTGGTGGTGTTCCAGGCAGGATTTGAACTCGCAACCTTCCGATCTTCAGCCCGCCTCACTATCCATTATTAGACCACCGTATTTTTCTTTTTTTTAATTAAAAAAACCAAAAAGAAATTATTGTTATTATTTTTTTTTTATGAGATCCATATGTGGCGGACCGCCACAAATAAATCAATGTATGGGAAACACTGCAAGTGTAGAGTGGAGTTGAACTGTCCCTCCATTTGTGTTCATTAGCACAGCAGGCAAGCTTGTTTTGTAAGGCTTTTATTACACATATATATACTTACTTTCTCACTGCATGTCATACACATAAGATAAATGCTTTAAATTAGTTAATTTAATCGTTGTCTAATTTTAATTATATACAAATACAACAACAACCTTTACACCTGCAAGTGTTCTTTTTTTTAAAGCAGCCTGCACGAAGCATTTTTCACCAAGGGTTTGTCGCCATCTGCTGGTATAAAATATGAATTATTATTATGTTAAACTCTAACAAACATTTCAATCGTTTTGACCTTGCAAGTTTACTCTAGTGGTTGCTTAACCTGTGTAAAACTCAAATATAATCACACCATTTAGAATAGTAATCCCTTATTATTGAAGTTATTTTTATGTTTTTATTTTTAACATAATCTTCTTGTTGGTTTTTAACAGCTTGGTTAAAATGTAGAAAATGTAGGTGTCCGTCAGGTAAGAAAAGTTGAAAGTTGACTTTTGTTAAATGGTTAGCAGTTACTTGAAGCAGGATGCCAAAGGGCAAAGCTGCCTTCAGGGAGGGGTTTCCTCTCACTCCTGCAGGTGGGACAGGAAAACCCCCCATTCCTCTTTCCTGAGAGGTCTAACATTTCGCATATATATAAAATAATAAAAACATAACTCACCAGCTGGGACGAAGCTGTAAATACCTAGCAATGGTTTGGCACGACTCTGAGCTCATACATTTTTTGAGGAACAGTGTTAAAGGTCCCATGTCATGCTCTTCTGGTTATTACCCGTCCCCTTGTGTGTTATGTAGCTTTTTCTGCTTGTAAACGGTCTGTCACAAACCCTCAAAGTACACCCTGTAGCGAGTAAAACTCTAACACAGAAAAGACCTGTCTGTGCTGCCCCAGAACGCCTCGTTGGACATTTTAATTTTTCTTCCTGGTACCAAGTGACGTAACGACGACCAAATGGACCTATTAGTCCAAATGGACCAATCTGTGGAGCTCCTCACACACACACACACTCACTCAGTCTTATCTTTTCTCAGCCGCAAATCCGTGATACTCCGCGGAGTTTCGTCGGCACACTCAGCCTTATCTTTTCTCAGCCGTAGCTGCGTGGATCTCCACTCACAGTTCGCCACACACTCACGTGTGTGTGCTCAGGCTGGGTTTCGCCGTGTCTCGCTGTCTCGCAAATCCCACGCAGCAACCAGGAAACCACACCAGTAATCCAGCTCACACTGTCCGCTCCTCACAGCAGCGAGCCCCGCAACGTCCCGCCAACACGGCACCCAGACCCCACGCAGCATTCTCATGTTTGTCATTACTGGTGTCATTTTCTGGTTGCTAACAAACGCCATTGTAACACATAATCACACATCAGAGCACAGTGGGCTCACAGGGAGGGGGGGGGGGCAGGAGCTCCAACAAGGCGTTTAGGACAGAGAGTGAATACACATGCTATACAGAGATGCTGCATGAGAAACCAATGTGAGTTTGGAACATTGAACAATGTAAATCTATTCTAGTAGACCTCAACCATGGGATTATGATCAGTAGAAATGGCCATGTCATGGGACCTTTAAGTAGGTAAAGAAATGAAAATGTTGAAGTCATATTTTTAACTGATATTGCTTCTGTGTTTGCAAAACAAAAAATACAATGTGTTGTACCAGTCATCTGAGATATTTGTCTCTTTCATTTCCAGTCTTTATGTGAAAGTAATACATAGCAGCCATAATGAACATGACATCTTCCATTCGTAAAGATCACTTTCTGTGCGAGTTAGAGCAGGCAGAAACATTAGAATAGATCCAGGATACTGATAGAGCTATTTGTATATCATTGGAAGTTGCTTTAGGGCAAAAACAACTCAAGCTTCAGTTGAAAATGCCTCAGCTGTGTTGATAAGTCTGCTTCTCCAAATAGATTTGAGCCTGGAGCGTTCAAAACATGACACTAAAGATCAGCAGATCTGAAAATGAAACACTCGGCTGTGTATTTCGGGCCGACCTGCTGCTATCAATGATGGATTTACAACACAAGCAAAAGCTCTCCCCATCCAATACAGGAGCAGACTCATGATGCCTCACAAGTTCACTCTCTTGCCACCGCCAAAAATAGCGCAGACAGCAGAAAGCTCATGAAGGCATGTGCCAGAGGAGCGTTTGGAGAGCATGTGTAACAAGTGGG